AGGTTCGCTTGTTTCGACAGCGGCACAAATATTAATTTCCTTGTCGGGAATTACCTTCTCTGCGCCTTCCTTATTGTCACAATTTCTGCACGCCGCAATGCAGCCTGTTTGCTCAAATTTATGAACAATGTTGCGTACAGTTGTGGCATAAGGCACAGGGCGATCTTGAAAGGTGAACACATAACGCCCAATGACCTCTTCCACACTTGAGGAAATGTAAAACCATTTAACGATATGCACCTTCTCTTCGGTCGTATAAATAGCCATTTTTGAAACACTTAACGTACACACCGAAACAGCTAGGCGAAAAGAATGATGCAAAAATAGTTTGGATCTCAGGTGATCTATTTCCTTTCCCCACCTTTTCATCTACATAAAGGTGCGTATTCACTATCCGAACGAACGAATGCTACTATCCAACGAGCGAACGTCCAGTCTTGTTCGCGCGGTTCTATAATTCTCATTCGTTTGCGAACGTCTTTGATATACCGAATGGAAACAGATGAGGGAGCGAACCGAATGGCGAACGGCCGCATGCATTCGGTTTGCTGTCCAAATATACCGAATTTCATTCCTTTGTTCTTTCGGATAGTGAATACGAACCTTAACATAAAGCACCGCCCCTCTCAATGCGTTCTCCCACCATGCTTATGCTTTACTTGCCCACACCCGTAAAACCGGCAACACTGTATCGGTCGCACCGGCTCCTCGCCGGCCCCTTTTGATGCTGTCTCTCTGTCTGTCAACCGGTCATTTATATTATTCTCTGTCTTACACGTTAAAATCCTATACACAGTAATCAAATGACCAGGTCGGTATACTAATTATACTATACACCACAGCTATACACCATAACATAACAATATTATATTTTATACATAATATAAATATAAATATATAATTTAACATTAAAGAAAGCTAGTTAAAATTCCCGGAATTCCCGGCTTTAAACCAATGACCTTGTTTGTTTTGCCTATGATTGGCGATCGGCTGGGATTCCCCGACTACAAACCAATAACCTGGTTTGTTTTGCTTATGGAGATATTGTTTTGTTCTGTGGTTTCCCATGCAAACTGATATTTCTAATGTGCTGAATTCTGAATTGATTCTTTTGAGAGGCGGTGGCGACGTTGATTTTGTTTTAAGCGAAACTTATATGTGTAACTAATTTAAAAGTGAAAAATAATTCAAACAATTAATAATACCCTATATATAAAGTTATATTAAAATGAATGACAATACTGACCTCTTTTAGATTATAAGTATTAAATTATTATTTCACTGTGTTTGTGTTATTACTTATACTTATTATTATTACTTTGCTAAAATACATTAATTATAGTTATGAGTGAATAACTTTTTGTTTATTTTATTATTTGCAACTGTGAGTCTCATTTCTTTCTGTTTTGGACATGCATAAATGGAGTGTTTCTGTTACTATACTTTACTCGGCCTTCCCGGCCGAGTAAGGCCGAGCACCGAGTACATATTACTCGGTTAAAATTTTGGCCGAGCACTGAACTACTCAGTACTCGGTGCAGCCCTAGTCTTAGGTTACTTTCTAGATGCATTTTGTCTATTTTTTCGAATTTTTTCAAACAAAAAAAACTGCCGCGCTTTTTGCAAGAAACTTACCGAAAAACTGTTATACTTGAAAAATGGATAAAAAAAAGTCATAAAAATTTTGTAAATGATTGGAATGATAAATATCGGAAAACCTTGAAAAAACTGTTGAGTGTCCTTTAGATGTGAAATTTCTCTTTATTTTTCTGCTACCACAGTCCGTATTCCGAAGTACATGGTCCCCAGTCGTAGTTCCATTCATTATTTTAAGTAGTATTATTCAAAAAATAGAGAAGTTGTAGTAAAAAAAACTCTTCATCTGGCAATATGACAAACAAACAGCAATATGTCCACAGCACACAAGGACATTCTTCTGTTTGTTTGTTTACCGCCAATGGACATACAGCACATAGAAAGTCTAAGGTATTTTCGCCATTTAATTCGAATGGGATAAACTGTATTTAACACGTTATTTCTGGCATTATATTGTAACTCTGTGTATGTAGTTTGCAATGCCATCTTTGGTTGAAAATCTTAAAAAATGGACAAAATGCATATGGCAAGCCTGTTCCTCAACTTTTTGCTGCTAACTAACTGTAAAGTCTGTGAAACGAATAACTTTGAATTTGACAGTTCCCGCGGGCTTTTCTAGTGTAAATTCTATTAGGTTAGCAGCTTGCGGCCATGCTGATGCAATGCCGTTTCTAATAGAACAGCCTCGGAGCGAGATTTATGACGTCACGCTAGTTAGATACTACGGATTAATTATGTTGTAGAATACATGGAAAATATAATTATTCAAAATTACATATATATTTATATGTAATTTTTTGGATTATATTCGACACTATTTTTTTCATATGACACAACACTGATGACCAAAAAAAAATAATGAAAAACCAAATGAAAACTTAATCAGCGTTTTTCCCGAACCAAAATCCCAAGAAAATCAAAAATTTTAGAATAATTTTACATATAAAATGACAGCGATCTTTATTTTATAGCCATCGCTGACGCCTTTTTTTCTATGATATTGTATTATTTGCAAGTATAATTTTTCGAACATTGATGCTTGCAAAATATACATATAAATTTTGTGAATGCAAATAATAATATATCACTATTAGTAGATATTGAATGTTTTTTGTTAAATTAGATCGATTTTCAAACCCCAAAATTTAAAATATATTTTACATTTTACCCATTATCTTATGTATCTATTCATTATTTGTATATTATAAAACATTTGCTGCATTTGTATGGTTCATTTATTTGCCAAAGTATTTATTACTATAAATCGGTATATATATTGTATTTATTAACTGTATATTATGTATATTTCATGTAAACTATATCATTTTTAAAATACAAACCAAAAATACCAGGAATAATTATGTTTTCCATGTATTCTACAACATATTTATTAATCCGTGGTATCTAACTAGCGTGACGTCATAAATCTCGCTCCTAGGCTGTCCTATTAGAGACGGCATTGGTCTGATATTTAGAAATGTCAAAGGCTGATGACATTTTACTTTTGTCAATTATGACATTTCGCGTTGATTTTTGCAAGAAGAGGAAGAACTGTCACTTGTTTTATTATTTTCCTTTTCTATTTCACGAAAATAAAAAGAGTTACCTATCTGATTCGTTCAGGCACTCATTTTAAAGAATATCAGTAACTTTTTGGATAGAGGGATTATATATTTGCCATGTTGGTAAAAAATAACGGTCAAAATTCAAAGTGATTCATTTTATAGACTATAATATACGTTACCGTGGTAGTAAATCAATATATTATATGAAATTCACATAGAATTAATTATGTAGTTTTTCTTTTATTTTTGCTTTTGTTTACTACTTTTCAAAAATAATCAGGAGACGTCAATTTGACTTACGTGTTTCAGTAGCGTGTCTGTTATTTGTGATGTTAAATAATTATTATAACATACCGGGTGTTTCTCAGAAGTGGCTCACCCCTATAACTTTTTTAATTTTTCAGATAAAAAACGATATTTGATATGTTAGTATATGACATAAATTTTAGGGCAACGGCCCAGCGACGTCGAAACACCGGTTCCCATTAGAACACCGAAGTTAAGCGACGTACGGCGATACTAGTGGATGGACGGGTGACCGGTTCGAAACTCTATGTCGTGCTGTTGTCAAATAAAGGCAAAAGTGTAAAATCTATTGACACACACTGCTCATTCACGTCGGTTCGAGGCCGGATGAGATCGGATATCTCGTGAGTAAGAGTCGATTTAGATACTTGCCAAGTCGGTAGACCATTGACCATGATATGGCCGAGGACCGCGGTTCGGATTCCGCGTAAACAAAGTAGGCCCCGTCCAGATTAGCCCTTGCGGCAAAAAGGAGACGTTAACTTGAAATCTTTACTTTTAGAAGTGATTGACCTATTCAGTTGTTTTCGGTCACATCCTGTTTCACCTGCAATGACTACAACTTTTGATTTTTAAATAGCACCTTTGGTATTTTTTTTCTTTATTTGATAGAAAATGACACTCTAAATAGATGACATTTTCGCTTAGTATTTTAAATTTCAGTCTAGTGCAATAGCTGTGTTAAAAACACTAATTTTTAATCAAGAAGCCTTGGAAAAAATACCCCGCTGGTGATCCAATTTATGTGGCCTGGATTTTAATAAGTGTGACAGAGAATTATTATATAAAGGACCGGTTGACAGATAGAGAGACAAAAATACATTGTTGCCGGTTTTTTACGTTTGTAGGAAAATGTGCGTAGAAAAATATAATCTATTACAGCTGTAGTAACATTTTTCGTAAACCGCCTACTTATGCGAAATCCGGCAATACCGCAATTAGCGTATTTGGAAAAACATTTGTTTGTTAATAATTTCGTATCACAAGTTTGATATTTCGAATCAAATTGTCGTTATGAAACGCATGTTACAATTTTAAATAAACCATATACGAAAATGTCAAACGATGGCAGGTGATATTTCATTCTATGCAGAGTGTCATTTTCCAATAAAGTAAAAAAATACCGAGTATATCATTTAAAAATCGAAAGTTGTAGTGATTTCCTGTGAAACAGGAAGAGACCAAAAACAATTGAATACGTCAATCAATCCTGATTTAAGTCATATACTAACGTACCAAATCTCGTTTTTTCAACAGAAAAAATAAAGTCACTTTTGAGCCCGATGTATATTTTTAATAGATATATTTTTAACAATTTTAATAACTAATAGTATTTATTGACAACATAAAACAATACCAACATATTTTTGAATCTTCTGTACATTATATTTTTACACTTAAATAAAATTAGAACGGCACTAATAAATTGGAATTTAAGTCAGCCTTATTAATCATAATTTTTTTATATGCTCCTTCCTTAATATTTTTATTGAGAGGAATTGCCGGATAATAATAGATATTTTCGATTTTTAGAAAATCAACGGAAAAATGCTTATGAATCTCAACAAAGAGGACATTTTGGAGTATACAGGGGGCAAAGTTGGACCAAGCCTTAAAATCTACGATCTTATACAGCAGCTAAAAATCAAAGTGAATCCCTTTCAATTGCGCCACATGAAAGCTAACATTAAAAAGTTCTTATAGTGCCTAAAAATATAAAGTGAGCTAGTTAGTATTTAAAAGTAAGTGATAAATAAGTGTTAGAAAGAGAAAAAATATCGCAAGTTGGGAGGTAAGATATATGTGGCCGATCTAATTTTTAGGTGACTTTATTTATTTTCTTTGTATAAAATCTTTTACTTCTTAGGAAAAGTATTTTAGTTAAAATTATATTATTAACGAATGAAAAATAAGGTATTTTGAGAAAGGTTGTATTAAATTAAACACTGATGTTTTAGTTATAGGTCAGAAATGGGCATAATCTTGGATTAACAATTTTTTTCTTAAATCATCCATTTAACAACTATAGTCTGTCCTATGACAAAATCCTCGTCATTGATAGATGTGTCTGTCATTTTAATTTCAAAGTAGTTTATTTTATTTTACCAAGAAATAAATTGGTACAATTGGAACGCATAGCAGAAAATTAATATATTTAAAATTTGAGTGACAAATGATTACTTAAAAATATTGTGAAAAACAAAAATATGTATAAAACTGAAAAAATATCTAATGGAGTTATTTTATTTCAAAAAAAATTACGGTAGGTATGTGTAAATACAAAACAAACAAGGGTGTATGTTAAACAAAACACCACATACCAAAAAAAAAATAAAAAAGAACTATTTTTTACTTTGAAACTTCAAGAAAATTCCTGCATAAATATTATTATATTTATCAACATAACTTATGTACAAATATAATAAAATTAATATTGCACAGGAATAAATAAAACACAACATAAATAAAATAAAATGTTTTATTGATTATAACACTTCTTACTGAATTTTATACCTTAAAAGTTGGTTAACTAACTTTAATCTTAATTTTTTTAAACTAGTACCTTTTGACATTATCTTTCTGCAGTACTAAAATCTATTATTTACCTATCGTGTGATGTCGTTATTTTACAGCTAGGTACTCCAGTTTTTAGTACCATATACGAGATGGTAAACAAACTTTATCGATGACTAATAAAACTCTCTCTCTCTGGGCACTATAAACTGTACTCTGGGTCTACAGTTAATTTTCCCTCAATTTTTCCTTCATTTAACTTCAAAAAACACCAAGCACACGTAATAACACGAACCATAATACAGAAACAATTCGCAAATGTCATCTTCCAAAATTCAAGTTATTTGACATAATTCGACACAAATTATAACCTACAATTTGGCACGAGTTTGACAAGACTCAAAAATCTTAAGTCGAGTACATACGCATCGTTCATCGTTCCGTCACTCCAGTAATATTGAAGTATGATCTGTCATTTTTGAAATAAACCACTAAAACTGGTTAAAAACAACAAGCTACGATGCATATCGGATTTATAATATAAACCCATCCATAGTTAACTTAAAAAATATTAGAAACTGCTTTTTGCTGTCATCATCTGTCGAAATCTTATCTGAGTAATAAAACAGAATATATATTGCGCGTATTATAATGATTTTTTGTTAACGAGTTATAAAATTCATAAGAAAAAAGAAATTAGCCTTAAAATAATCAAACTGCAACCTTTAATAACTTTCGAACGGTGAGGTTTACAAAAAAATTGTAAGAGACCTTTTTTGTAGAGATTTCAATTTCCTACAAATATATGAGACATAGTAGATACCAAGTATATCGATGTAATCGAGATAAGACTATAAAGTGACAAAAAATAGTGAATTTTTTTGACCCACCCTAATAACATAGTATAAGGAAACTAGTAGTTTTACTCCTTGTCAAATCCTTTACTCTTTTTCTGCCACTTTATATGACCTTGTTCTCGCGTCCCGTGACCACTGACGTAGCTGTATAGTCGTGGTCTATAACTAGGCAAAGTATAGTCGTGGCACTCGCCATAGTTTCACAGAGATGTATTTAGGAAAATATGAGTTCACAATAAAATAAAATAAAAAAAATTGATCATCGAGTAAAAACTTGCTTGAAAACAGAATATTTTCACATTACGTTTAAGTAACAATTGACAATTCTTCTGTATCTGAAAATCTTCTGATGGGAAGAAATGCGAAAAAAATATACAGGGTTGTTCACCACATACGACACGGAGTATTGTAGCTAAACGATTAGATTTTTACAAATTGTAAGTTTTGGGTTTGTTGAAGGTCTATTAGAGCTACAATTTAAAAATATTTTTACAAGATACAGAGTGTCCCAAATAAGTAAAAAATATTATAGTTGTATTTTTTAAATGGAACACCCTGTATATTATTCTATTTTTGGATTCTACGATTGAAATAAAGGTAAATTTTATTAAGGTTTATCACACTTAAACCTTACCGTTTTTGAAATATTTTCAATTTTATGAAATTGCAGTAAAAATTTTAAGGCTTATTTCTCCTAGGGTATCAAAATTTTTAATACTAAATATTTACTGAAGATTATTTATTGATCAGATATTGTGTTGCAATAATAAAAATTTTACTACCTTATACAGAGTGTCCTAAAATTTATATTAAATAATTACTAGCTTTAAACGGCAATAACTTGTTTCATTTAAATGGAACACCCTATATATTTTACGTGAATCAGATGCACAATGTAATTGTCTAGCAAATTGTATTATACCATTTTAAGTTTTCGTAGAAATTGCATTTTGTTATAATTTAGACCTCATTTATCACTATACCCATGGAATATTGACATTTCAGATTTTTTTATAGCACCATAATATGTACAAAATGTACAGGTGGTAAATATTGCATGCCCATTGGCATACAAAAAACTATTTAAATCTTTGTAAAAGAGTATACCAATTAAATATACCACCATTATTTCCTACCAAAAACACCAAAAATTAGTTAATTACATACTTTTAAATTGTTTTAATTAATAAATTATTCTAAATAAATGTGGATTTGGCTCAGAAATCAATATAATAATAAGTTATGAAAATGAATGTCTCTGTTTTTATAAATAAGCATTCCTCAATAAATGAAATAAAATTTATAAGGTGTTACTTTTTACCACACTGTGTAATACACACACAAAAATCAGTTTTTTAGTATTTGGAACAATTATTACTACAACGTAAACAGTCAATTAATATAGTTTGAATACTGGAATCATATTAATTGGTCCTCTTTAACAAAAAATATTTAAACAGTTTTTTTTATTTTTTAATTAAATAAGCGAACTATATCAACAATATTAGTATATGTACCCTTTGAAAATTTGTTACATCTTTAAAAATAAGCTAAAATGTCAATATTCCATGGGTATAGTGATAAATGAGGTCTAAACTATAAGAAAATGCATTTTCTATGAAAACTTGAAGAGATTGGTAAAAAATGGTATAATACAATTTGATAGACAATTACATTATGTATCTGATTCACGTAAAATATATAGGGTGTTCCATTTAAATTAAACAAGTTATTGCCGTTTAAAGTTAGTAATTATTTAATAAAAAAATTTGGACACTCTGTATTAGGTCGTAAAATTTTTATTATTGCAACACAATATATGACCAATAAATAATCTTCAGTAAATATTTAGTATTAAAAACTTTTATACCCTTGGAGAAATAAAGCCTTAAATTTTTTTCTGCAATTTCATAAAATTGAAAATATTTCAAAAACGGTAAGGTTTAAGTGTAATAAACCTTAATCAAATTTACCTTTATTTCAATCGTATGATCTAAAAATAGAATAATATACAGGGTGTTCAATTTAAAAAAAACTATATTTTTTTACTTATTTCGGACACTCTGTATCTTGTAAAGTTATTTTTAAATTGTAGCTTTAATAGTCCTTCAACGAACCCAAAACTTACAATTTGTAAAAATCTAATAGTTTAGCTACAATAATCCGTGTCGTATGTGGTGAACAACCCTGTATAATGACATTTTTATTTTATTATCTATTTTAAAGATTTTCTACAACTTTTTTTTATTTTAACAAGTTTAATTTTAACATTAATGTGTTTGTTTTGTAGTAATATATTGGTTAGGTGATTTTCATTGGATAACTAATACATTGAACAACACATTGTACTAAATTATAAAATAAAATATTTAAACTTCAATAATTGCTAATAAACATTACAGAAATTTCAAAAGAGAAAAGAAGCAAGAACAATGAGAAATAGTATCGCTACTTTCTCACGTAATAAAAGAATATTTTTTTAGTTATTGTTACCGAGTCCCGAAGGTACCGAAAGAACCGGGAATTAATAATTTCGAGTCTCGGTTCTTTGATATCCCAAAAGAACCGGGAATTTCCGGTTCTGAACCCTAGTTACCATATTATTAAGAAATTATGTTTTTTAACTAAAAACTAAAAAAAATTCTAGATTTTTTCAAAAAAAAAATTACGCAGAAAAGTCCTCATATATGTTTTAGGATTAAATTAAAATTTCCACTTATTTAAGACTCGCCCTGTATAGGGCAATTCACGGTTATGGTGCGTTATAGCGTCTCCGGAACCGGAGCTGTTTTTCGAAACAGGTAATTTCGGTTAATTAAATTAATTAACCGGGATTTCTATTTTTTTCTGTACTTTCGGTACTAGCAAATTCTTGTTCAATGATGGTGCAGTTCGTTAAACAGCAAGCAAGGGATGGTTGTCAAAAGTAAAATCGATAAAAAATTGAGGTATATATGGAAATAATATCAAATTATTAAGTAGTAATCAGTCATGAGAAAATTAACCTGAACACAAACATGATCACAAAAAAAACTCAAAGCACAATTTTTTGAATTATTACTACAATCAATAGCACACAGTAAGGCACTCATTTTTTGTCAATCCGTCTCTGTGCTGGGACACAACGCTCGAACCTCGCAAGTCGACGGACGAAACTCAACTGAAACGTTCTGCAATCTGCCGATATTCGACAGATTGTAAAAACTGGCAGAAAATATTTGGGGGAGTGCAACTACTCTTTTCCTTCTACTATGCTAATAATCAACATTTTTTGAGATAATGGCTAAAAAATAAAAAGTACAACTATAGATTACCATTTTAATTAATCCAGTTTGTAATAGCTTACAAAGTTTTGCCCATTTCTGATTCAGTATATTAATTATAGCGTGTCCAGTGAGAGAATATATAACACTGACAGTTGTCTCTGTCATTTTCATTTAAAAATAAGTTATTTTGGCTGTCAATTGTTAGATGTCGTTTGTTGAATTGTGTGTGTTCTCTCACTGTACAGATTATACCAAGTTATCGGAGAAAGCGGTGTCACAGTGGTCTTTGAAATAAAGAAAGGAGGCTGACTTGATATAATAAAATAATAGATTTCTAGACACAAATTTATTGTTAAAAAAAAGTTTATTGTTCTTTTTTTTCAAAGGTTACTGTGACGCCGCTTTTTTTTCGATTATACGGTATCCATGATTAGGATATTGATGAATTTTCTGTATATATCTAATCTCTCTATACTATATCACCATAAGCATAAATTAAAAGTACTGGAATTTGGAAAATATTATTATGACAGTGATCAGAATATTTTTGATTAAGTCAGTATTACTTTTTACACAATATATAATTTTTATACTATTGCAATTCAGTATAAGTGCACTTCAGAATAATATAATATGCAATAATACAAATACAATGCAAAAATAATTTTATTATGTATAGTTTGTTATATAAAAACAAGGATTAAAGAAGCATTAGCAATTCGCTATATTATTTAAACCCTCTATCATATAACTAACTGCATGATTTTAACAAAAGTTTTAAGAAATTTGTTTTGTACTAGAGCAAAGTAGTTTCTAACAGTGAAGTACCACATCTAAAATAGTAAAATATTAGTTCTTAATTAACAGTATTGAAAATATAAAGTAATAAAGAATATTAGTTGATATATTAATTTATATTTGTAATTTGTTGGTTATCCTACTTGTGATCTGTCTAAAGCTTGATTTTCATGCATCCGTTGTCCGACGATACGTTGATACGATATTAATTTTATTGGTAGAATTTAAAGACTTTGATTGGTTAGAAAATTACGCAGTTTTTAAATTTATTGCATTTTCATGCCTCCGTTTATCGGATATATGTTGGTGTTATTTTATATTTTCGTTTCCATAACGATTTTGCTATTTTACTTATATTTTTACTAATGTTAGATTAAATTTGTCAAAAAAGTGTCAAAACGTCCGTTATCGCATGAACGGGTCCGTTGACGGGCTGAAGTAAAATATTTACGGATGAAAAGTGGCGCGAAAACGCTATGACCAATCAGAGCACCGTCGGACCAACGTATCAACGTATAACGGATGCATGAAAATCAAGCTTAAGGCATAACATCAATAATTATTTTAAGCTTATAGAACACAATTTTTAATCATTTATTTAAAGGTACTAAATTATTACATTGTTTTTCATAATACAGGGTGTCCCAGAAATAAGTGTAAGTATTTTAACTAGTAGTATAGTTCAACCCCAGAAACACGCTTATGAGGTTTTTCGCGAAATTTTTTTTTGAAAATTCGGAATTTTTTTTTGGATTTTTTTTAGTTTTTATTTAAAAAAAATAATTTCTTGATAATATGGCAACATAAGTAGTAGATTAAATTTACGAGAAAGGAAATCCAGAAAAGATCCAGTGGTTCTCAAAATTTTAGCAAAAAATTATTTTTTTTTAGAAATTTTTAAAGTAAAATAACTCCGTTATTTTTGACTTATTTGAAAAAAGATAAAGAGAAAATATGTTTCTTTTATCGAGATCTACTACCCCTTAAAATACTTGCACTTATTTCTGGGACACCCTGTATATTATTTATTTTAAGAAATTGGTGAATGCGCCAAGAAACGAGAACATTTATATTTAATGTTTTATTGTATGCATTTTTATTATTTTAAAAAGTATTAGAAACGACTCTATTTTACTATAAACTTAACCGGATAGCTTCCATTTTTTCATGGGATTCTGAAAAATTGTCAATAATAATATTTTTCAAAATTACCTTTATAAAACATTGCTTATCTAAACATAAAGATACTGTACATATTAGATTTATCAGATATTTACTATAACTATAGTAGATGAAAACAGAAGTTTATAGTATACCGTTGTTTGGCATTAAATTTTCAGTATTTTGTAGTTTATATTTTTTTAATAATATAATATCAAAGTTTCTCAAAGCTTGTTTTTAAAGTACTATTAGTAAATGTATTACAATACTTTGAAATGTATTAAGGATAATTTTTTTTAAATTTGCTATATTCCCAAGTTCCATACCTTACACCATATTGAAAACTACCCTGTAGAATGGGAATACAGTAGCGAAATTACTGAAAATTCAACATGTTAATTTTGTAAATAACTTTTTTTGAAGAGTTTGTGAGATTTTCTTTAACTACTTTATCAATACGAGTGCTTTATCTATTTTATTTATTATACTATCAAAGAAATTGTTTGATTTTCATTTTTTTACTGATTTATTTTCAGTTAATAATTTACCATTATGTAATAGTAATAAAATTTTACTTACTTAATGATATTTGTTTTATTATAAAATAATTAAAAATTATTTGCTAATATTTGCTACGTTTTAATCGAAATTCTTTAAATTCGCACTGATTTTCGTTTTGGTACTTATCAAATATCCCCTGTAGCATCGAGGATTCAGGGAAAACGTAAATAAACGTGGCAACGTCGGTTTCTGCTTCTACGACGGGGTCGGGCGGGGCATACGCCACAGCTGGCAGACGATACGAGTGTCCAACGAGCATTTCCTCCGCGTCAAAATTAGTACCGATGTTATGTTCGTATTTTTAACGTTTGTTATCAAATTTGTGAAGTTTGTGTCGTGATAATTGTTTATAACGCGTGTTTTTTTCGCATAGTGTCAATATAATTTCACATTTTCGATACTAAATCGAATAACAAACCGACGCTTTTGCGTATGAATCGGACCGTGGCGTCAACCGGCTCTCAGCTGTTTCCCGCGCTCGCAGAAAACCGCTGTGAGGCTTACGTAGCGTTTGGTTATCCCGCGCTCTGAATTTTATTAGTGTTCGAATCGTTTTATTATTTAAGTTTACCGGTAATAACAATCTGTGAGTGAATTTAGCCGTGATGTCGGTTTATATTGAGGATAGAGCATTGTTCGAGGAGAACGGGGACGACAAGAAGGACATTTTAGGAAACATCGCAAGGTAAGTGCACCGCATGATTTTACCCGCGTTTCTGTACACATGATTTTGACAACTAGTGTACGTCATCGTGTCCCACTAGGTCTTCGAACCGAGTACGCTTTTTTAATTGTAGTGTAGTTTATTACAACGGGTCCCCATTTTAAATTAAACGTAATTTATAAAAAGTTTACTTCGTACCATGCCTACGTGACTTTAACGTTTCTTGGCCGCAGTCCCAGATCTTGCATGTTCTTTTAAATCCGATTTGAGTTTCGTGCAACATTCAATTCTAAACATATTCGTATAATTCCTATCAATAGTTTGTTCTGGCGTGTAGCATGTGCCAGATATCACTTTTACCGCAGCTGATCCAAACTAAAAATAGCCTTTAATTCAGTGAACGCTGCTGCTGATAAAAAACCATGCAAGATGCAGGCGTTTGGCATTGAGATGAATGAAAGAATGATTCATGTAATATTCAGTTCGGTTCAAAAGTTTTACGTGGGTTAAAGTGGTCATAAATATTTACGAAATTACCAAGGTGTGGAACTAAGCTAGTGAACCCATTGCTTTCACGCCCTTACAATATGCATCGCTGCTTTCTCTTCGAGGTTGGTTGTTTTTTTTTAAATTGCCATCGAGACAAATATATTGGAGACAGGTGAAAGGGGGAAATATATTGCATTAAATGAAATTGATTGCGGCACATTCCATATTTTCTACAAATATGGATAATCAGAAATTTCATATTTTTGTTATTTATGTACAAGCTATTTTCTATTTTTTTTTTCAATTGCATATTATTTATAGATTACCACGAATTTAGCCATAAACTACTTATTTATATCACTTTATTACCCTACACTGTGGCTATATATGTGGATAAATCTAATAATAGCTGGTAAATTATACAGATTTACTGCAGTAAAAAAAATAGTTAAAAATAGACCTAAATAATAGAGTAGAAACATTTTCCCTGTTGCCATGTCCCCAATGCCGCGCCGGTTTAAGTAAATCTTTCGGAATGTGCTTAAATTGTTTTTAACTTTGATATTCTTTAAAATTCGACTGTATCACAGAATTAACTTCCAGTTGTACCGTATGTAATAGCAACATGAAGTCAGTAAATATTTATAGTTGCTTGTAAACCCACATGTTACATAAATATGATGTCGGTATTTTTACGGGGCAATAAAAATATAAACAATCTATTGGCAACGTTGAAAAAGCGATAACCAGTGGAATGCCGCTGTTTGTAGAGTAGTTTTGTTGTGGAGAAGTGTACTATATTTAGTACTACAGACTTGGATTAAATGGGTATTTTTTTATGTATTCATGAATAAATATTATTAATTAAATTACAGTTTGAAATATTGTGCAGTTATTAACAAATGTTTTATGATTTCATGTTGTGATGACAACGTATGGTAAACGTCAACGTGGAGTATTTTGGTCCCTAGAGGGGAAATAATAATTGAGTCGAAAAAAGTAAATTTGTCTGATATTTTAATTCAAATGTAGCTTGATTTTCTATCATTTTTTTGGAGATGTTACCTATCGAAATCATTATTTATATTCGTTTGCTGTTGTTGAAAAACTGAAAGACAAAATATGTCTGTGTTTCATGCGTTTTTTTTTTCTTTATAAAACCTATTGTATTTCAGTTTTACAATTTTGGATGAACATTTGCCCGTGATGTCTGCTTATCACTCTGGTTATCGTTATCTATAGATTATTTAATCTTTTTAAAGTTATTACAACATTTTAGTGGCTTAGTTTATGTGTGAATTACTTACATATTGTTTTTATTTATAGATGGGTAGAAGTAATTAGGAAAATTAAGTCAAATTAAGTTAATAAAATGGTTTAGAACATAAAATTGTGCACTATATGTGCATCTTTGAAGCGAGACTTCTTACTAACAACAATTAAATTGAAGGATTTGAAGGACATGTTGAAAAAGCGTAGTTTGAAATGTTGAAATAGTAATAAATTAAAAAAAAAATTATGTGTTCACAACATGTTCACTAATACACGTCACGTCACTACGTATTTCTAAGCTGTAGGCCATCCTTACCACTTTTCGTCTCGCGCTTGTGTGCCACGGCCTTGAATTTTTACTCCCAGCGCGCGTAAAGAAGTTTCACTGCAAAATTTTGAAGAAATTTGAAGATTCAATTGTTTGCTTTTGTAAATCATTGACGTCATTCACACCATTTAAGAGCTCTTGCATTTTAGTTGATTATTATGGTTTTGGGATAGGTAGGTGCTACTTAAATAGGTACTTTATTTGTGTCATAACAAAATTGTATGCTTAAGCTTCCTTCAGAACCTCGCAATTAGTGTAATAAATTAGTGGTTTCAATTAGCGTAGAAGTTTGTTCCTTTAATTTCAATGTAAGCGTTCATAACGTCAAAATTAGTAGTAGACATTTTCAATTAATAGAAAAAGTTGTCAAACTTTTAACTTTTCCTCTAAATTATACTTCAAAATTTGCGTGAAATGTCATTTTGGCCTTTGATTACCTATCTTCCGTCAAGAGATGAAGCTTTATTCTTCATAATTACCCAATACCTATAGTTTGTATATCGAAATTTTGTAGAAATTGCGGGTTAAGATCTGTAATTACAACTAAGGTACAGACTCCAATCAAAAAACTTTGGTTTATTGGTGTGTATTTATACTAGTGACTAAGTGACACATTTTTATTAGAATTGTACGCATATTTGTACAAACATTTGGGTCGTAACAGCCCTGACGCAAGTCGCCTCCAAATATAAATCCTCGTAAATATTAGAGGCTTTCGAACCGAACAGCGATCAAGGCAGTCGTTCCAACTGATCAAGGTCAATAGTTGTTTTTGTCTGTGTCGGTACGGCTCCCCGTTAGCCATCTCTCTCTGTCTCATCACTCTCGTCTCCTTTCAGCTGATTGAAATCGTAGTACAATTCTCGCATTACCGTAGAGTATTGAAATGGCAACAGCAGCAGCATTTCTTTAAAGAAATTACCTGGGGTGGAACTCTGTATCTCGACATTTTCTCCAAAGCGAAAGAGATAAGTAAGAGAAGAGATAGAGATCGTTGAAATTATTGAAACTTTATAAGCAAATCTCTAAGACTATCGTATAATCTCGGCAATATTCGTACTTCTAATCGGATAGAGATTTTTTATATAATCAATCCTGAAAATATTGTTTTTATGTTTTTTCCAGTAGAGAAATCATACTTCACGCATGGTTTTTCTGGTTTTATTTGTCAATCAAAGTCATTTATGTGACAGAAATCAAGCAAATATTGGAAGTTCCAGTGAAATTCTCATTTAATTTCTAAAATTTGTAATAATATTTTGTATTTACATCCAAAAGCAATGGAAGTAGACAGTAAAGGTAAATAAATTTCATTTAACTAAATAGAATTACTTTTTAGGACCATTTAAACTTACCATGCTAACCATTCTTTCTTACTGAGGAACATTTAAAGAAAACATGAAAAACAAGACAAGTAATCGTGAATGTTTTGTAAGCTATAAAAATATAAATATTGATTAGATTTGTTTATTTATTATTGATTTGGTTTAATATTGGACCTGCAAATCTTCACTTGAACTGTTTAACGAGTTTAACAGTTTATTAATAAAGTACTTTTCAATATTAAACACCATTGAACAGAAGAAGCAAACGTAAAAGCAGAGAATAGGTACATTAAAAATGCATAAAAGATAAATTTTATAACAGAGGTATTGAAATTTAGAAAACGTCAACATTTGACGTTTTCAATATTTTACCAAACCGTTCCGTAACCGTTTTTCAGGAACCGCTCTTTACCGTAGTTTACCGGTCTGGTTCGCCTGGTTTTGCAACGGATATGAATTGTACATGGATATCATTATACTTAATCTTTCCATTCTATGATTGAAACAGAAAGTGAAAAATGTCAACCGTTCATTAATAATTCGGGAAATATCTTCAAGGTTACGCTGCATCAGTCCGCCGTAATATTGTTATGAATGGCCGTGTTGTTTTTTTTTTCGTCGCTCTGAACGATCTTTGATCTCTCAGACTGTGTCGCTGCCTACTTTTTTAAAGAAATTAAAATGTAATATGTCGGGGGCCTCACTTGGGGCACCGGGTTACAGAGGCATTGCCCCGGTTTGTCTCTTTTTCGGTAGCGATTGTTATTTTTAACTTCATCATATTTTTATTCTTGTTTTAATTAATTCTATCGTGGTAATTAATTATGTTTGTTTTTACTTGTTTAATTAATGTTTACTATACATTTTTATGAATTTGTTAAGTATATTAGTTCAGAGTAACATACGTAAACATTTAGGAGAGGGGCATGCTTTAATGTACATATGGTAGGTTAATTTATATGTTTACGTCATTTGAAGTACGTCATGTATGTAATTTGCAGTTATATATTTCGTAAATAAATATATATATATATATATATATATATATATATATATATATATATATATATATATATATATATACAGGGTGTCCCAGAAATGAGTGCAGATATTTTAAGAGGTGGTAGATCTGGTCAAAATAAACATATTTTCTCTTTACCATTTTTAAAATAAATTGAAAATAACTGAGTTATTTAACTTTGAAAATTTAAAAAATAATGGCAACATTTTGAGAACCGCCGGCAGGTATTGCCAACTACATCCAATTACCCGGATCAAGCCCGGATTTCAGTTAATTCGACGCACTGTGTTGCCATATGGACAAGAAAGTATATGTTTACAAGTAAGTCATAAAATCACAACACCTGAGGAGTTTGCAGAGATGCATTACATTTTTAAGATTGTGATATTATTACATAAAATAAATTAAAAGTTAAATGTTTAAAAGTTAAATTAAAAAAACTTACCCAACATTAAAAAATATACTTATGACAGATCGATGTAACTGCGACAGTTCTCTTTTTTCGATACACACTTAACTAAAATACACTTCATTGTGCTGCTTTTTACTTGTACGTGCTATTATAAAACTGCTAAAATAACAGTCC